TCATTATAAAGACAGAAAGTCAAGAGTAGAGCTTGTAGCCAGGACTTAACTGGCAGTGACCTAACATGGCATTTTGAGAGATGGTATTAGGTTAATGTTCCCAGAGAGAGCAGAAAGGAAGAAATGAGGCTATGAAAGGAGAGAGCTTCCCACAGCCTATTCAAAGAGCCACGCACAGTCCAGGAGTTTGCAGTGGTCCACTGCATCTCAGACAGCTCCATTTGTTGCTTTTGGGGCAGCAGTGTCTGCAGCAATCTCCACTCCGAGTTCAAAATCATTGACCCTTAACTTCTTTAACTTCTAGATTTCTTTGCCAGTGATTTATAGAATTGGAAGCCACAGAATACTGCTCTAAATACATTACATGTATGAATTCATTCAATCCTAATATGACTTACAGTGTACATTATCCTCATTTTACATCTGAGGAAACTGAGGCAGAGATGCTAAATAACTCACTCATGGCCACATAGCTAGGATGTGGTGGAGGCAGGATTATGAGACAGTGGTAACCACTACGCTAACTGGCAGAATGAGCACACACCACTAAACAGCCTTTAGCTTGTGCCTCCCCAAAGCCAGACCAAATACATATTCAATCTAGGTAGGATTTAACAGAAGAGAGATGGAATTCAAACTTGGCTTTAAGAACATCCCACTTCCAACCAAACTGCCACCGTTAAGTTGCTCTGTGTAGAAATTTTGGAATCTGCCCCCCCCGCCCCACCCCCAGCCCTGACCACCACCACTCACACTAAACATAGGCTGACCTATGTTTACTATCTTTGGATGCTTCAATCTAGAAAGTACTATATCTATGCCCACTGTTATATTCAGAAAGTGAATTATAATTATATGCTTATAAGTCTGTCTTCGTTGAGGGCTGAAATTCTCTCCTTCAACTCTGCGTCCCTAACAAATAGACACTGTCTGGGACACAGGAGGTACACAATAATGGTTTGTTGAGAACTTTACTACTAATACCATATACTACCCAAACCAGCTAATAGGGTTTCTAATTTGTGGGGAAATGTGAACAAGTTTGTTTTTAACTACTGCAAATACAAAAGTCAAACTAACAAAGATATAGGCTGAAACTGCAAGGCAAGAGCCTGGCTCAATCCCCACCCTCACTATTTTCTCCATCATCTTCTGAAGTGGTTGCAGCCTGTAATTTTAACGTTTCTTCTGAGAGTGACTCCCTCTGCTGCTCCAGCAAAGCCATGACCTAAATCAGAAAAGTGCTAAACGCAGTTAAGGCCTAACAGAGCACACTCTGACTGTCTGCACTAACTGGAGAACCTAGCATACATTCGAGAACAGTTATTTTAAAGTCTCAGCCATAATTCTAAGTAACCTAAGAGGGTTTGCCTAGTAGAGCTCATGTCTCCTTCATGTCCTTAGGGGGTTTGCTTAAAAAAGATCAGATGAATTCTGATTAGGACAACCAGCTCCCAGACTACAGTGGGAAATGCTGAAGTACCCTGTTTTGTTGAACTCCGAATCCCCTGTACCCAGAACACCAGGACAGGGAGTCAATAAATGTTAACAATCTAATGGTTCCTCATTCTTTGCAAATGTTTGAAAAGTTTATTCTCTGAAGCCTTTTAAGCATTCTCTAAGCTAGAATACATGAAATTATTATTCTAAACAAAGGTAAACTAGCCTACTTTTTCTTATTGCAAATTGTGAATTTACTCTGCTCCTAAAATGGAAAAATATATGGTATAACTGTAATGAAATTCAGTTATCTTTCACGCCAATTGTCTATCTATACCACACCAATAAGAAATTCATAAACACATGAAAGTAATTTTTACGCGTTTGAAGTATATTGTTTTAAAAAACATAAATTAACTTAACGATAACAGAGAATTATCCCAATATAATTAGAGACTTCAGTAATTTTCTGTTCTCAGTTTGGTGGTGTTAACACTCATAACACTAGTTGGTGCTAGATAAGCAGAATACCAATGCTGTGTAGTCCAGAAATAAAATGCATTTATAAAACAGGAGGGCACTGATTCAGAGGCACACTGATCAAACACACACACACACACACACACACACAGCCTTTTCGTAGTAAAATCTTTCATTCTTGGAAGTTAGAAACACCACAAATTCCCTGGAGCTAGGAGTTCCCAGCAATCCTGAATGAAACAATTAGGGGAGAGCCAGAAAGGAGAGAGTCGTTGCCTAAAGCCTAGAGCATCTCCCGAGGACCTGTTTAAAATGACGGCTGTCTTTCTTTAAACCACAGTTATAAAACACAGCACACTCACAAATAACACTTATTATGTTTTTATCTTAAACATCTGTTTTCTTGACCATCTCTGAAGAGATATAAATTTTCTAAAACTTCTAATTTTTCCAGTACTTCTCTAACAGAATAAAAACCTCACCCACATTGTAAAGAAGTGCTTAAATTAACTTTCTCATCTTAATTGCATAGTACTTCCATTCATAAAAATAGTTCATTCCCATCTTCAAGTCCTCAGCACATGGAAATCATACCTTGAGGGAGCAACAGCATCTTTTCTTTCCCTAGTATTCTAGTCCAAAGAGAGAGGAAAAAGGAGAAGAAATCAGAAGGAAAAGGAGGTCTGTCCATCAGACCATTATAAAAGTGTGATTCTGAGAAGAAAGTGTACCAGTGGTTCAGCAGTAAACAGGCTTGGGGAATGGACAGAGTGATGGTGACAGCAGCTGACAGTGGAGTTTGGTGCTTTCTACATTTCTGATACCTAACAGACAACACAGGAAGAGCTGGTATCCTGGAACATAGAGGATAACAGAGATAAAAGTGGTGGAATAGCATCTTTCAAAAGACCACAAGATTCAAACATAAATAAATAGTTTATTCACCAGGAACTGAGAGAACTAAATAAACTAAATGGAGAACAGCAGTGAAATGCACACACCCATGTTGGATGCATTCTGTTAATACATTTCATTTTTCCACTTAAGATCAGAAGAGCAGGTTCAATCTGCTCTACAAGAAGAAACAAGTTCAAGTGGCAAACCTCAATCTATCCTGAGCATCTTTTCTTTTAATCTCTTCTCCCCTTCTTTCAATATTAATCTATTTACAATCTCCTGTTTGATTACCTTTATTGATCCTTTTTCCTACCCAGTCTTTTTAATTTGGCTGTAGTAAGCTCTCGGCAGGGATTCTCTACCTCCTGTTTGGCATCTTTGGGGACTTTAACTTGTCCTTTTCCCAAAGAGTTCTCTCACCCCGTGTCCCCCTCCACCCCACCTCCATCCCATGGCTTAGTCCTTTGTGTGCCCAATAACAGCGGGCGAATTCCACAGGGAGTCACGCGGCCCATTCCACAACTATTCATCAGGTTGCTCACTTAAACTTCCAAACACCCTCCTCTAAGCACCCTTGCTGCCGCCCTGAGAACTCCTTATCCATTTCAGGAGATCTACAAGTGCTTGTGATTCTCAATGGAGGTTCCTTTGTAAAATGGACAGATGAGCTCTGGAAGTATGCATAGGAAAACCAGGGCAGAACCTTGGGGATGGGAGGCTTCTGGCAGCAAGGGAAGGAAGGATTTATGAGCGTGGCCACTTAGCGAGGCAGCAGGAAAATTTACTCCCGAAGTAGCTATGGCTAATTCACAAAGCCTCGCTAATGACTTACCTCCCCACCCGGACCACACTCGCCTACACTCAGCGCTCCTCTCCAACTCCAACGCCCTCGCCCCCAGCGCCTTCGCAGATCAGAGGCAATGCTGTCGGGCATCTCCAGGGTCTGAGCATCGCCCTGGGAGTTGAGGCTATCTCCGCGCCTCCTCCGCTCTCCAAATTTGGAAAGAAGTGTGACCTAGATGATGGGATCCCCAGATTACCTCCGAATGCTGCATAAGCTTCCTCCACCCCCATCCCCACCCCAAGGAAAAGTTGAGCTGCCTCCCCTGAGCCAGCGACCACCACAGAACTGGGCGAAAAGACCCAGGTGGGCGCTTGGCGTGGTCAGAGGATTGGAGGCCCAGGTGACCCGAGGGAGACCTCGGGGAGGGCAGCGTGGGCTCCTTCCTCTCCATCTCCTTTCTACTCAGCTTCCCGCGCTCTGAAGGCTGGGCGCTGCCGCAACCACTTCAAACTCAAGGGACAGAAGGGAGCTAGCCGATCTGCCTCCGTGCCTCTCCTCCTCCCTTCCCCACCGCTAACTGCGGGCCGCTCTTCTCCCACTCCCGGTTTTGCCCAGGGCCCCGGACATTATTTTAAAGCTCAGACGCATTAAATTAAAATGTCAGAGTTATAAACTGGCTGGTTACCCTGGGGAGTTTTGGATTTGGTTTGAAAGGCCTGTCCGTCTCCCCAGAGCTCTGAGGTTTTAAGTTTCTCCGTCGCCTGCTGGGAGGGAGACCTACGGAGGCTAAGAGTGCAGAGCGTGCACGCCCCGGGGCCTGCAGCAGGCTGGGGTGCGGGGCCGGGTGCGCTGTGCTATCTCCACAGCGCCCAGAGCAGCAGCCGCGAGGCACCGGCGCCTGTGGGTCCTCGGCCGTAATGGGCACATTTCCTTAGTTAGCGCCCCTCGGCGTCTGGCATGCTCAGAGACTCACTGAAGATCCCGCAACCCCAGATGTGGCACAGCGCGGGGTGCCCCTGCGCATCAGAGTGTATCTGTGGCATGCCACACAGCTACCCGCACCGAGAGTCTCTCCAAACCTCAGTGTGTACAATATGCAACAACGTGTGCCTGTGGAGCAGAAAGTGCAAAAGACACCCAAGGCGCCCACATGCCCGAGACAGATGCGTGTCCACACCCTGTGCGTCCCTGGTCCATCCGTGCCCTTCTCGGAAGATAGATTAAAAATAACAATAACCAAAGCTTCTTGACTAGTTGGGAAAGTGGAATTTAAAGTGATTTCCAGTTGAGAGCAACGAGGCGGATTAAGGAAGCCAGGAGAGCTGGGGAGGAGGAGAGGAAGAAGGAGGGAAGGAAGAAGCGAAGGGAGGTGGCCGCGGAGCTTGGCGGACCCCCTTACCTTGAGCGGCCGAGCCGGTGCCGCTGGCGCTGAGAAGGGCCAGGGCAGGTAGCACGAGCATTTGCAGCACGTATCCCAGCCCCAGTCCGCAGCGGGCCGCTGTCGCCCGCAGACCTTTCCTCATCGTCGACAGAGGTGTGCCGAGGGGAACCACACACAGAGACGCGCAAACAGCGGAAAGCCCCACTGGGCAGCAGCTGAATCCGTGCACCGCGAAGCAGTTCGAAGAAATAATGATAACCGAGCGCCACACTCCACTTTCTCCAAGGGCAGGGGCCAAAAGGGGGTGGAGAGGAGCCGCTGAGGAGGAGTTTGGAGGTCCCTCTTTCCCTGTGCCTTCTAACTGGCGACTCCGTGAGCGGCTGCTCTGCCCCCACTTGGAAAGTCCGGGGAGGCGCAAGGCGGCCACCGCGCGGCTCCCCCAGCAGCAAGAGCAGCCGCAGCTCCGCCACGCGCCGAGCCTAGACTGCTCTCCGGGTCCCCTCGCCTGTGCCGAACACACACAGGCACGGGGGGCGGGGGGAAAGAAGAGAGAAGTGGGAGGAGGAGGGAGCGGAGGGAGGGAGTTGGGCACAGTGAGGCGCTCCCGTCTCTAATCTCAGTGTTCTCACGCCGGCGGAGAGACGTCCCGGCTGCCGCTGCTGGATGGCCAAGACCGGTCACCTCTTAGTGTGGGGCGCACGGGTGCGCGGAGGCGCTCGCCGAGAAGGCTGGAGGGCACAGCCCAACTCCGCTGGGGGATAAGCGGCGGCGGGAGCGCGCCCGCTCGCGTTATGTAAGCCAGGATTGGAGAGCGATACGCGCCCAGCGCCGGAGGTGGAGACCGGCTGGTGGTTCACCCGCGGAAGCCCGGGCGAGAGAGACCTGAGGGAGGAGGCGGCTTCGGGGAGTGGGAGCGCGCCGGCCTCCCGCCGTGCGCCAGACCTGGACTCAGAGAGCGCAGCGGGCGCGCCCCGAGCCACTTGGCTGTGTCCAGTGCAGCTCAGCCTGCTGCCTGCCAGCTTCTCCACGGCGCCGGCAAAGCCTGAGCCAGACTCCCCGGGACTGGACTCACTCCACAATTTCGGGTCTTGCGATTGATCACGCTGGGTGCGGCTCGAGATGAAGTCCCGCGTGGTGGGGAAGAAGGCATGAAGCTTTTACAGTGCTCCAATCGGCTGCAATGCTGGAGTTGTCAGCACCACTCAGATTGCTTTACGCTCTGGGCGCCTATGACCTCTCTGTAGTGCAACAGAAACTAAAAGCTCACGGAAAACTCATTCTTCAACAGAGCTTTATTTGCGTGCATCTTGGTGGCTGGCAAGGTTGAGTATGTAAAGGGAGATGAGATGATACTGGGAGAAACTCCTAGAAACAATGCACAACAAAATTTGTAGAGACTCCAAGTGATGGTGGAACCTATGACATGTTTTCCAAATTCTTAATGGTGTGCGTAAGGACTCAAACTGCTGTGAATTATTACGTTTTTTCAGGAAAGGTTTGTCTGGGTAGCTAGGTTGTGGATCCCTGTTGTATTGATGAAGGAGGAATGTAAGAATGGGTGGGTAAAATAAGTGAAGGCTAGACAAAAGGAAAGTGGATGAATTAAAAGGTCAATAATACACACTGGCACAGCTAACATTCTGGGAAGAAGAAAACCACTTCCCAAGATTAGTACATTTCTAACCTAATAACAAATAATATATTAGGGAAATTTCAAGCTCTTGGTGCCGAGGAGGCAATGTGTAAACACACACACAGGCAGGAAGCTGGCATCTAATCTTGGCTGTCGTCATCACTCTGTTATCCTGGACAGGTCAGGTAAACTGCATGTCTCAGTTTCTTCATCTGTGAAATATTTCATTACATGGTTTTAAAGTTCTTTTCAGTTCTAACATTCCACGATTCTGCCTGCCAAGCTCCATGTAAACCTTTAGCCAATAAGACCTGTCTTGGATGAGTCTGATAGATCTGAAAAGGTCACAGTTGGCAAAGACATTGACAAATCTGGCCATTTCTTATCTCAATGGAGGTGCTGCCTGCCATGCTAAAATCTCTTCTTCACCCTCTTTAGCTTCCCCATACCAAGATATCATGATATTTTGGTAAGAGAGGAGGTTCCTGTGCCAGACTGTCTGGGTTCAATCCTCAGCATTTCTTACTACTAGCAGGCAGATACTGAACAATAAAGCTAGATGCCTCAGTTTCCTAATCTGTAAAAGGAGTCTAGGATCAGTAACGATCTTATACGGTTTTGTGAGAAATAAATGAGTTAAACCTATGTGAAGTGCCTAACACATAAAATTGTTAGCTGCTATTCTTACCATTCATGAAAGATTCCCATCAGCTGCATGCTATTTAGACCAGTGCTGTCCCACAGAACTGTCTGCAGTGAGGAACATGTTTGTCTCTATGCTCTCTGAAATGCTAGTGATTAGACACATGTGACTGTTGAGCACCTGCAACGTGACTAGTGTGAACAGCGAATTTTTATTCTTATGTAATTAATTAATTTTAATTTTAATAGCCATATGGCTGGTGGCCCCCAGGTTGGACAGTGTGGCTAGGCCACTCATAATCTGTCATTTATTTTGCAGATGACAGTACCAGAAGGGGTTATGATTATACTTCATATTTGTCTTTACAATTTTTCCAAGAAAGACAGCAGCTTAAATACTAAGAAAGAAACCCCCACATATACTCACTATCATATTAACATCTAAAAGTTATGTGTTTATTTCACTTACAATTTTATTGCCTATCTTTTCTAACTAGAATTTAACTCTTTTTAAGGCAGAGACTTTGCCTTGTCTGTCATTTCATTCCTGCTTCCTAACATAGTGGACAGCATTGGTTGGTTGATTGCCAAAAAGACTCAATAGGGAAGAATCGTCCAAGTCTAGTTAGTTAAACAATTAAATTCTCACATAATTCTGTTTGGGGCATTGAAGTGCCCAATGACAGATACTGCACAGAATTAATTCTTTGAAAGAGCGCATGAGAGACAGGAAGGGGGAAAATAGTTCAATACTGGAATTCAGCCTACAGAGAGCAGGAGAACGGTCTGAGAAATGGTCAGTAGAGATGAGACAGAAGGGAGGGGAGAGCGAGAGCACAGGAACGAGGACAGGAAGGGCACCAGCAAATGGATCAGCTTTACCACGAGGGTGAGTTTCCTACCACCCGTGGTTGCAGATGGACCTTGCCTTGTATATCAACATCCTGCCTGTTTTTTTCTTCATGAAAGAGATGATGCAGTGTTCATAGGCTTCTGAGCGTAGGATTGCTAACTTACTTCACTTAGATCTGGGCTCAAACGTCACTGCTTAGAGAGACCTTCTCTGACCAACTTACCTAAAATAGCACCCACTTCATCACCCTCAATTACATTCACCTGCTTTGATTTTCCATATAGCACTTCTTTTATATAAACACACATATGTACATGTATATATATGCCTTTGTATAAGTATATGTAGCCGTATATGTGTACATATGCATATAACTATATGTATATGTATGTATACTTTCCAATAGAATGTATGCTTCTCTAAGGCAGGGATTTTTTCCTAATACTTTCACCACTCTACACTCAGAATCTAAAAAGCTTCCTGTCACATAATAGGTGGTCAATAAACATTTATTGAATATTGAATGGAAGAATGAGAGCCAATGGATTTTAAAACTGAACTAAGCCCTTGATTAAAACATTTTTTTCCCCCAAGACAAATTTTCGGATTATGACTAGGCTTTTCTAGTTGTTGAATAAAAGCAAGTTTGGGCTAATTTTCACCAAATATGAATTTAAATATGACTTTTTCAGGGTTGGAATACTGTAGGTGTTTAAGGAACAGACATGAAATTCATCTCATTTTGAAAAATAAAAAGCTTCATTTAAATCCATGTACAAGGGCTTCCTTTTCCTTGGCTGCAGTGAGTGGAGAATTAACTCTGGGATAATAAATCCCAATGACAGGTGCTAATGGGAATTAAGCATGCAAATCCCCTGCATATCCCTCCAGAAATCTATACCAAGAAAATTATGCTATTTAGCGTGTAGCTGCCTAGTTAAAATATTATTTACTCTAAACTAGTATGGAAAAAGTTTCCAGCTTAATTAAGGCTTAAGAAATAAAAAATAATAGAAAATGTATTTTAATTATAGAAATATTTTCTTTCATTTTATCTCTTTCATATATTTGATTCCTCATTTTATGTATTTTTAAAAATAAATCATCATATCAGAGATATTATTAACTGGCAACATAGAAGAAGGAGGATTTTAGTGAATATAAATAGGATGGTGATGAGGAAACGCTTTTCCTAACGAGGAGTTGAAGGTCCATTGACCTCAGGTGAAATTACCGATAGACATCGACTGAGAAGAGCCAGATGGTCCAGATTCAGTTGAGTCAACCCCCCTTCTCTGCCTCATGCTATACAGAAGGGAATTTGGCCTGCCATCAACTCATATACTGTTGGGCTTTATGCTTTATATTAATTGTATTAGACAAGACCCTTTTGGTTGCAAGTGATAGAAACCAAACTCAAACTAGCTTAAGCAAAAAAAAAAAAAAAAAAAACACAATTTATTGCTGGACATAACTCAAAAGCCATGGATAAAAATATCAATATTAATAATGACTAGCATTTATTGATCATGCACTGTGTATCAGGCACCTTTCTAAGATATTTACATGTGCTATCTCATTTAATCCTCATTTTGAGGATTAAAATAAGGATTAAATTAGAGTATATTATTATCCCCGTTTTAAACATGAGGAAACAGTGGTTAAGTAGCTTTGCCCAAGTCACACACAGTATTTATTGGTGTCAGTCTGATTTTAGGGATCATGTTCTAGATCCAAGAACTTAAATACCACCACTCATAGGACTTAGTCCCTCCCCTCTCCTCCCAATTTCTTGGTTCAGCTCTCCTCTGTTTTGGCTTCATTCACAGGCCTGTGATGTCCACACACACACTGGGATTTCTGGCAGCTCCAGATTTATATTGTCTTTACCGTTATTGGTCTCAGGACGAAGAGCACTCTCATTCCCAACTAGCTCACAAAATCCCAGAATTATGTCCCTGGCTCATCTTGGGTCACATACCCATACCTGAGCCAATCACCATGGCCAAATGGTTGGAATATACTGAATGACAAGGCCTGGATTATGTGCCAATTTCTGGCAACTGGAAACTTGGAAAGACAGTGGGGAGAAGGAGTTCTGCAAAAGAAAAATCAATATACTGAGAATGAAGATTAATATGAAAGAATAGATGCCAAGAGAATGGATGTAGAGCAGACAAAATAACTATGCCTATTCTCTGGTGTGGGGGGCAGAATGCCTTCTTACTCAGGCTTGAGTTTTGTGCCACACATATCACCATAACAAATGAAGAGAATTGGTTAAGAAGGACTGGTGAACATCCCCTAGTAGATTGCTTTTTCTGTGACTGGGAGAATTGAGTACCAC